ACATTCTATAAGGCAGTTCTAAAAATGAGACAGCCCAAACAAAACTTACAACTCTGAAATTGGAATTCATATCAGCACCAAACTTGGTAGATTTGTAGCAGACATTCTACTTTTACTCAGTGCCAAATTTGGGGAAGTTTAAGTAAACAGTTTTTATGGGTTTTTTTAAAAGAATGTAAAACTGCTCCCCCCATTCAGAAATAGGCAACTCTAAACATCCACAGATTTAAAACAGACCACATACAATGAAAAGACTAGTCTCGTTTACCTTGAAAGAGAATGATTGGTCACACCCTATTTTATTAAAATTTGGAAATGATCCAGGTTGCAGGGGCTAAAATATTGATCCTTGAAAAAAGCCTTGTAAAGCAGCCGCCTAGAGTGGTCTTTTAGGCCAGATGGGTGGGGTATAAATCAAATAAATAAATAAATAAATAAATAAATAAATAAATAAATAAATAAATAAATAAATAAATAAATAAATAAATAGTTATAAGACTGAGCATGCATGGGACAGGCTTACCAGCAAGAGCACTGCAAAGCAGATACATTGTTGCATCTTCATGGACTGGGGAGATGTTTGGACAGCAACAAAAGGTCAAAAAACAGCCAAAAGATAGGTTTTCTTTGAACACTCAAAAAACCCCGGCGGACTTTAAAGAATGTAATAGTGACAATCTTTCAGAAGGGGACATTTAGCCCTATATTTCCAGATATCAGCATACAGTTAGGCAAGGCATATTCAAAGTATTTCTGCATTACCAAAGCACAGAGCAGTTGAGTTTGTTCCAGCCCTGACTGCTTTCAGTACATGTTCTCTTAGGGATTTTTGAGACCAGGTTCCAGACACAAGCCTTCAAAGGGAAATCAACTCCAGATCTGGGGCAATCTGAACTTTTGACCCTATCAGTCAAGACCCAATTGGCTGACTCTCAGAAGGAGAACTTTTTAACTCCTTTATGGGCAAACAGGCATTTGTGCTGGCAAAGGGATGCCATGTCTAGTTGTAAAAATATTTTAAAAGAAATTCTAAAATGAATAGAGAACAAATCTTTGGAACCTCACTTGTTTAACCTATGAAATTGGTCAGGTTCAACTATTCCACCCATCCTGTCACTATACATTTGTTTTTTAATTAAAGGAGGGGGGGCTCCAAAGATGTTATGTGCCATCTTCTGATGACTATTATCAATTAATGACCACCAGAATGTCATATCAGTAACAGTTCTGCTTAGATCTTGCAAACCAACAACATCTCGTGTAAGGTTCTTTATTTTCACTATCCACGCCTTCCTAACAATATTGTCTTTTCCAGTAAGGTCTGCTCAGATCTTATACACTAACAATTGCAGTTTCCTTCACTGAGATGATCCGTCTCATATTAAGTCTTCCTTACTTCCTACTGCCCCCTCACCACTTTTCCAATATTGTCTTTTCTGGATAGTACTGTATTTTCACTATACATGCATGGTACAATACACCTGAGTTGACTCATTTTTTCTCTAGGGACAGTTCAGGAATCCAGTTCTAGACTGGATTGAGCACCCATTTTTCTGCCTTCCTGGCTGTCTTTGGTATCTGTATAGCTCTCCTCCCACACCACATTTCAAATGAGTAGATTTTTGTCCCTGTCTTTCTTCACTGACTTTCATATAACATGGATGATTCTGATCTTGGTTTCCAGTGATAATCTCTGCTAACTCATAGTTCTCTCTTTTTTCCATTATTTTAAAAGATGAGGTGATATCTTTTGTAAAACATTCAAACCACATGTTTGAAGAACTTTCGATCCAACATAGCTTTTCTTCTTCAGGCTGCCTATCCCAAGAAAAGAGTTTGGAAATTGGAACATAGCTTTCTAGTCTAATGACAACATTAGTTTACCTGACAGGTTAAAGGGGTGTGTATATTTCTACACTGTATGTGTTGTACTCACATCTTTGCTTTATTTTTTTGAGAACAAAAACAGCCCTTCAAAATATTTTGGCACAGAGGGAGTGCAGCCACATCCTAGCTGTTCTTGCTTCTGTCCTCTCACAGCAACCATAGCATAAATCATGTGCTCATCTCCTAGGATCCTCTAGTGTTAGGAAATTCTACATGAGGGGCGTTGATATTAGAATCTCTGCAGAGCTCATGTATACTTAAACCTCCATTTTAAAAAGTCAGTTTATGAATGTGGTTTATGGTGATACAAAAGGCCAGCAAAGGGCTCCATATTGCTGCATAATATCATGCCTGCAGTTTTAGAAGGAAAAAGAATGCTAAAGGGCAGCCTGAATGTTAATGACAATCATGTCAACAATCAAAATAGTATACAGCAGTGGTTCCCAACCTTGGGTAACCCAGGTGTTCTTCGACTGCAGTTCCCAAAATACCCAGTCAGTAAAGCTGGTGGCGAAGGTTTTTGAGAATTGCAGTCCAAAGACACCTAGGTTACCCAAGGTTCAGAACCACTGGTATGCAGGATACCTTCTTATGCTCCCCATCATTCACAAAGAAACACCAAGCAGGGCAAAAACAGCTGACTCCCTTTTTCATCACTTAACCACTTCTCAAACAAAGCAATTGTCAGCTGTTTTTCAACAAGTTATCTAGGTATCAATACAGTATGCCTAAAAGAAATGACAGGGAGTCCATGTAGGTATCTTGTAGACCATCTTGACTTCTGACACAAGCGGCATCAACATTGAGGCTGCTCTTTGCTAGGTAAAGTTTGGCATCCTTTATCCTGCTAGCAATGTCAGCATGACATTGGGCAGCATTTCGAATTATGGCTACAGAAGCACAACATCCCACATTCATAAAGTGGAGATTTTTTTTAAAAAAAATTGGATCTATTAACTGTGCACTATTCTGGATCAACAGCTGTTTCCAAACCACATACGATACATGACAATAATCGACATATCTCATGACAAAAACATGTTCAATCAAATGTATAACTTTTTCCCAGGATGAAATCCTCCAAACAAATCATGCTTCTTTTCCAAACTGCTTCTTCCATCCCCTGTGTGTGTATATGATTCTCTGGTGAAAAAGAAATGATTAACTCTCTTCATTCATTGTTCTTCCATTTGAAACCAGTTCTCCCAAAGTTTCATTCCTTAAAAAAAAAGATAATGGGTATCTTGTGCACAGCATTTAGTTAGCACCAACCATGAGGGATGAAGAATGGGTGTGCCTTTAGATATTGTAGGACTCTACTTCCCATCAGCCCTAGCCAGCACAGGAAATGGGAAGGCACATTGGGAGCAGCAGTCCAACAACATCTGAAGGCTCAGAGATTGCTGCTCCTTGCCCCAATGCTTTCAAACAACAAACAAAAAAAGCCCTGTGTGCTTTATCACATAACTGTCTCCGTGGATGCTTCTCTCTTAGCTATGGCCACAGAAGCATGCATGCCAACCTCATCTTTTATGTACCATTTAATACGAGGCAGATACAGTACATTCTAAACCAGGACTGAGCAACTCCTGGTCCTCCATATATGGTGAACGGCAACATTCATGAGTGGGCGCAGCCGATGGGGAAAGATGATGGGCCTGTGGCTCAACACCATCTAGATGGCCACATGTTGCCCATCCTGCCCTTCATCAACATTGTAAGTTTTATACCTCATTGCACAGACAGAAGTATCGGGTTGCAAGCGTTCCTGAATGTGACAATGTTGCTTTTTCTAGACTTTTTCCATCTATACAGTTTCCCCTTTTACGCTGCTTGCCTTCTAGCAAGCGCTTTAAGGTGAACTAGGTTGGACAAGAAAAAAGAAATACCCTCCTTCTCCCCACCCCAGTTTCATCTGCACCTCAAATGTTGGTTTCAGTTTCTTGCTGGTTAAGGGACCATATTTGTTTTGCTGTGTTATAAAGGAGGCAGATGCAAATGCTGTCATTCAAAGTAGGGCCGGGCAGCTGTCTACCTTCCAGGGTGACCACCCGAGCACTCTTGAGTGTCAGCCCAGGGTTGGAAGACTGTAAACATTCATCATGTGCTTTCTGCTCTGCAACCAACCAAGAAGAGCAGAGCGTGGACGGGTTCTGCAACCCTTTACAGCTCCTGGGAGGGCCAACTGCAGTTACTGCTATCCTAAGCATTTGTAACTCTCTCACACTCACACACAGAGAGAGTAGCCGAGATTGCAATGATGACGAAGGGGACTCTGCATAATTTTACTTAGCGAACAAGAAAGCTGCATCATGCACCAGCAAATGCCCCTTAATAAAAACTGCAACGGGGGTGGGGGGAGGATAGAGAGCGAGAAAGACAGGCGATCACAGATGTGAAAAGCAGAAGGAGCCGGCAAGTATGCCTTCCATCTCCTGCTATAATTAAAGTGGGTGATAGGAAAAGATTGATAACTAAGGGAGGGGGGGGAGTGATAGAGAAGTTTGCTTCCCTTATTTTGGCAACGCGCGACGCTGCGGGGAACTTGACAAAGTTACCAGCGACTGGTTATGGATTTACCTTGTGAGCCGCACAGCCCGCCCTGGTCTCAGCTATTGCCGCGGCTGCAGGTGCGCAGAGAGGGCGAGGATGCCCAGTCCTGGGTCCGGAGCTGCCACCGCAGCCGCCTCCGGCTAATCCTCATTCCGGACCCCCCCCCCCCCCCCCCGCC